AAGTTGCTGGCGGGGTTGGTGTCTCCTGAGGCCCCTTTCCTTGACTGACAGACAGTTCCCTTCTCACTGTGTTCTTTGTGCTCCTGCATCACTAATAAGTCTTTCTCTTCCTCTAAGGACACAAGTCCTATTGGATTAGATCCCCACCCTATGACCTCCCTGAACCTTCATTACCTCATGTGAGTCAGGGCTTCCACATAGGAATTTTGGGTGAAAACAGTTCTGTCCATGTCATTGTCTATCCCAAACAATAAATACGTTTTGTGATCAAGGGTATTAATGTTTCATTAGACCCACTTTAGTTCCTTAAGTCGCTTCTTCAAGTGTTTATGGAAGACCCGTAGTTGTAGAACACATGACATAGTAATCAGAATATCATTTTTGATAGCATATGTTGAAAAACACAGAATATGTTACCTGGGGACACTGATTTACTTATTATGTATATGATTATGATTCACTTACATTTGAGTCTAGTTTTCTCTTGTAAAATTAAGAATTCATAGTTACAATTACTCTGCACATTTTTTAGTCAAAATTCAATGAGATAATAGAGATAAAGAAAAACATTACAAGATGTAAAGCACTACACAAATGTTGGTTAATTTTAATGTTTTCATTAGTATATTCCACAGATTATAAACTGTAGTAATGTTCAAAATATGTTTTTTTTTTTTCAAGGAAGAATGAAGGGAAAAAAAATCAACAAAATAAATTCAAATATAAGAATGGAATAGGCCAGTGGCAATAAATTTCAGTGGAAAGGAGAATTAAATTTTCTTTTGGAAACAAGGTTAATCATTAGGAGAAAATATTAATATGATGTTTTTTTCATTTTTATGAAAATATGAATCTGTATATGCACACTGAATATAATAGCTATGACAAAATAATAAGGGAAATTACAGTTTTGATAAAGCCTTAAATGTAAGTAGTCACTCAAACTTATTTTCTTTTACACAGTAGCCTTTCTTTGACACACAAGCACATGAGGCACTTAATGACATACAGGTGCATTACTAGCTATATCATCAGGTAAGATTCAATCACAGCATACACTGAAAGAAGTGTCATATCACTTCCCCCTTACTGAAAGCTAGAGAAAGACAATCACTGATAGCATATGATATAAGCTGGAACCTGGCCAATTCAAATGTGCTGTTATGACTCTTTAATCAATCTAGATTTTTTTTCTGTAGCATCTAGCAATAAGACAGGTTCTTTCTTGGGCACTGGTGACAACGTGTATATCACTCACACTTACTCTGCCAAACGCTGGCATCAAGCAGAGCCCTAGGGAGTATTATGTAGCAGTAAATGGAAGGAAGGGACGGAGAACAGGGACAACTTTAAAAATTTTCTTTTATCGTGCTTAAAGCCCAAGGGAATGATGTGACCCAGCTTGTAGGCACCTTTGGCACAGTTCCAAGGACATGTGTTCTCTACTGATCCTTAATGTTAGTATGTCTGTATTAAATGAAGTCCTTGAAATGTATTCATAAGAAACTGAACTTTTGTTGAATCTTTTTTATCAGTATTATTGCTTCATTAGAGTGTAGTCCATTTAAAATGATTATGTTGAGATAGAGCCATTTTGGGAAAGAAGGGTCTTGGTGTTTTTCTGCTTATTTACTCTTTGAGTTGTCTGGCGGTTTTCTTAATGTAGAATAAAATACATTTATAAAATAACTTTTCCAGCCTATCACCCGTAGAAACTCTTAGCTACCCCATTTGTTATTTCCCTCTATTTAGCATTCCTCTTCTTTTTGTGAAATTTCACACCTGGACCTTCCCTTGCTTTGTTGACCTGTTCCTGATGTTCATCTATCTTGGATGATAACTTATTTACTGTTGGTCAGACACGAGGAAATAATCTTGAACAAAACACATGTTAGTTCATAACCCCATCTTGGTAAATTTAAAAAGGCTCCTTAGTGGAGATGACATCCAAGCTAAACCTCAAAGGATAAGTAGAAATTAACCAGGTGGAAATGGGGTAGGAACACTGCAGCATATGCAAAGGCCCTGAGGCAGGAAGAACAGGTTGCGGCTGGAGAACTATTGGTACCTTTATATGGTTTATATGGTTAAAAGATGAAGGAGCATTATAAATGAGCTGGAAAAATAAATTCCTGAAGGGGTTTAGGCATGAAGAAAAGGACCCCAGTCTTTGTTTGGAGGGCAGACAGAAACCATTTAAGGATTTTAATCTGGAGAGTGACATATTCCAATTCATACATTATAAGGTGCCTCTGGCAAAAAAGATAAAGAATCATTTGAATAGAGTAATTTTAGAGGAAAATAAAAAACATTTACTTACATTATATAGTGCTATTTTTAAATGTATTTTGGTATGATGCTATAGTCTTTAAAAACCTGAAATCTAGATCATTTAAATATAACATAATGATACATATATTAACTCTATGCTAAAAGATAAATCTTTTCAAAATTGGCAAGTACAAAGTCACAGCAAACAAAGATTTTGTAGATAGTGTTTCTTTGTTCCTTGCCTATGATTTGTGTGATTGAAACAATGGGGTGACAAATTTTCTCACTGTGTTTGATTATGCAGTTTGGTCAGAGCAAAACTGATTGCAAACCAAATCTCTTGTCCTCCCAGAGCATTATATGGTAATTAAAATATCTAACTGAAGAAACATGCATTCATTTAGAAAGCCTTCTTTAGCACCTATATAATTCTCAAGAAAAGGAAGAAGGTAACTGAAAAACAGAGCTATTTTGAAATTAAATTTTACACTAGTTCAAAAACCCACTGAATAATTAAATTTGAGCATGAGATTGTTTAGCATAGCTAACTGCTATGAATCTCTATTTTTACATGATCAGACAAAGAAAAACTAAAAATACTTTGTTTGAAACAAAAACTGTGGTTCACTATCATTGAAAAGTTTAGAGTCCCTGTCAAAAGTTAAACGTTACTCAAAATGGTCTCCTCAAAAGTATAAATTAAAGATGGATTTATTTAAATTAAAGGAGTCAGAGAAAGAACTTGGAGTTAGATTTTTAACCATTGCCCTACTACTACACCAAGTAGTATGAAATTAAAAATAATTTTTCCATTAACTGGAAAATTTGCTCAAGATATATTTTTAAATTCCAGCAACAATACCACTGGCACATTTTTTAAGGCTAATAATAGTAATAGAAATCATATTATTTAATTTTAATATTATTTTATTAATTAAATTTAATATTAATAAACTTAAAGTTGTCATTACATTGTTTAATTTTGTTTTCTTTGAAATATTTCAATAATTTTCTAAGCAAATAATTTATTAGAATCATATGTTTATGATATATAATTTTAATAATTCAATTACACTTAATACTTCAAAATATATTGTTAAGTTTTATAATTGAATATGTTAAATGCTAAGTGTCAGTTAATTTTTTTTATGAATGCTGAATTTTTGTTTTGCAAAAATAGATATTGAAATACCAGTATTGGCATTTTACGCGGGTATTGCTTTCATTAGCAAAAAGGTTAATTGCTGTTTTCCTCCATTGATGATGGTGGGCTGAACATTGATAATGATGACTGGGGAGAGGAAAATAAAGGAATGAGGCAGATTTAACAAGACTTGGTAATTTGGGAGCTACGGATGGTGTATTTGGAAGAAGAAGTGAGTAAAAAGATACTCTACCTTCTTGTATAGACTTTGAATAAATGTACTTATGAACATTATCACTCACATAGAGAGGGAATGTAAGAGAAAGTCAGAAAGCTGAGAAGAGAGGGAGAGGAAACAGAAGAACAAGTAAGAAGACAAATAAAAACTAGCATCACTTCAGAAATTGCTACAATTTCAGTGACTTCATGTTCAGAAAATCCATACCTTCTTTCCCCTGCCATCTCTGTACTGTTTTTGGAAACTTTCTATACACTAAATACACTATGATGGACTTGGCATCTCTTCTGGGGCCGCATCGTCAAGTTGATGACATGTTAAGGAAAGCAGACTATGAGTAACGGACATCAGGAAACTCATCACGGGATTCCCTTCAGTTCCTAAACCTGAGCTACATTGAATCTGGCTAGAGACCATGCCCCTGTGGTTTACTGACAGTAAGCGAGGTTAAATAAAGAGTATAGTAGTTTATAATCTGACAGTTAGGAATGCAGTGTCTGCGTGTTTATACTCCTGCATTCTTATGATGGGAATATGAATATATTTTCCCAGAAAGATCATTCCCTGCTGTGATTCTTCTTTCTATAGTGTGGGTAGGACATTCTTTTGTATACGCTATTGGTTTAATAACATGTAATATCTGGTCATTGAGCCTAACCGCTTGTGCATGGAACCTGGGCTAAGTTGTCCCATTAAAAAATAACCTACTTAGAAAATAATTTATGGACACAACTAATTGGAAACTACTCCTACTTGAATTAGTACGTGTCACGTTTGAAAATGTTGATAAGATGGGTCAGTGCTAAGAGCATCAGGGTAGATCACCCAGCTACTCTAATTTGGAGTATAATTAAGGAGACTAGACTCAGAATTGCATTTTACTTTTTATTTCATGAGCACTTTAATCTATGATTTTTTTTGGCCTCTTTTCTATTTTCTGCATCTTTAGAAACTCATGTTAATACTTAATGTGAAAAGAATATTGGATGTGGTCTATCCCTTTTGATACCAAGTTTGAAAACTTGTAGGAGAAGTCTTTAAGTTTTAATCCTCTAATTATATAAGAGGCAGGAAGCATTACGAAGCTTACTGAAGAGTTGAGTTGTACTGTAATTTTATTTCTGTGATTTGAGTTGAGAAGAACCATAAGCAAGCCTATGTTTGGCTTGATCAAATGGCTGTCTTGGTACTCAAGTGCCACTCTGATAACTCAATGTTGGCTTATTTTTCCCTTGTTTATGACTCTCAATTTTCAAATAAAGCTGTTTTTCTTTGAAGTCTTAGGCTATTTTGAGGTCCTACTGGGAACAAGCAATGCAGGAGTTTTTCTTTTGAATTTTATTTCAGAAATTTCTACCACAGGACCTCTTGGCATGGGAAGCACCACCACCAGTACCACCCTTCGGACCACAACGTGGAGTACAGGCAGGAGTACCACCCCATCAGTGTCAGGAAGAAGAAACCGGAGTACCAGCACTCCATCTCCAGCTGTTGAAGTGCTTGATGACATGACCACGCACCTTCCATCAGCATCGTCCCAAATCCCAGCTCTGGAAGAAAGCTGTGAGGCTGTAGAAGCCCGGGAAATCATGTGGTTTAAGACCCGTCAAGGACAGATGGCAAAGCAGCCGTGCCCTGTAGGAACTATAGGTAAATCGGTCCTACAGAGTTATGCTAAGGGTGTGCCGTTACTTTCACTTGCTTTTCTAGCACTTAAAAATTTTTTTTTTTCTTCACATTTGATTGAATTCTGAACTCAGCTAAATTGCAATTTAAAGCGATGTATTTTCAGAGTCTGAAAGTGCAATCTGAGGAAGTCACAGGTAAGAATTGGATGGGAATTCTCATACATGTGAGATCAGTGCTTTGCTTTTCACCCATGGCGTGGGGTCTCTGAGTGGAGTTACACTTAGGCTATGGGTGTCTCAGCTACTCTAGAGAGCCAGCTTTGCTATACAGCAGCCCAGAGAGAATCGCTGGATTGCTGGGGGCTGGTACTCAGGCTTGTCACCATCCTCAAATGTGGATTGTAGAACATGAGATCAAGGACTTCTATATTAGAAGACAATCATTGAAACTACCTAAAATTTAACAAAAGAGAAGTTTGAATATTGTTTTTACCCGTCATTATATCTGTCTTTTAATAGACAAAGGCTCTTAGCATTGTCAGGGATCACACAGGCAGGAGCCAGCATCCCATTTACCCAGCATCCGCTAGAGAGAGCAAGCCTCCATTGTTTTCTCTAAGGGATAGTTAAGAACTAGAGAGCTTTTTGCCCCTTCGTTTTTACTGATAAGATTCATAATACCACCGAGTTGTAGTCATATTACCATGTACAATATTTGAACGATAGTTTGGTTTGTTTTATTGTTACATATATTGCCCTTCAAAAATTTTTACTTAATCCAGTGAATAACATTTGCATTATTCCATAAAATATGTAAATAAAACAAATACACAATAGATGTCACTATACCAGTGTTCTTGGGGACTGTATCTTTGGGTATTGTTTGGTTACTTTAAGGAAGCAGGTTTCTCTTAGAAAAGTCCCAATGTAAATATGTCTTTCTGAATTTCATGGTATGTGAGGTGATGGAAAGACCAGAGGTATGTTGGTTTTTACAAAGTGCACATTTAATGTGGGTTTTTTGGGGTGTTTTGTTTGTTTGTTTGTTTTAGCTAAGTGTTTAAAACTATTCAGAAATCTACCTTCCTTTTATAAAAGGGGACAATGTTTAGTTCTAAAGTTTTCTGTGGTAAATGGAATCAGAAAACCTTCACTCTTAGCCTCGCCCCAGAACTGAGCCTAGTTCTGGGCCTCAGTTCCTTCCTCACTGATATAATTGCAACATCTCTACCTGACACATTTGTTGCGAAGGTTAGTGAAATACTTTATTTGAAAGCATTTTGCAAACTACAAAACACTCATACCTAAGTCTCTATTGTTCTGTGAAAACTGAGAAAGAGATTGAAAGGAGACTGTCTACAGTCCCCCCCCCACACACATGACTGTGCGTATGCTGCAGTCTTATTTTTACCTGTTCTCTGTCCCTTCTGCATGCCACCGTAGGGGCCACACAGTCTCCCATCTGAATGATTTCAGAGCTTCCTCACAGCCGCCAGGTTGCTCCCTCACCTTCATCCTACAGAATGCTGCCGCAGTGATCTTTCGAAACCCTTAACTTGCTCGTTTCTCTCATCTACTTAATGTTCTTCATTGATTTTCCAGCACCCACACGTGCCAGACAAGGGAGTTTCTGATCTGGCTTTGCCTGCCTTTCCAACTCCTTTAAATATGATGTCCCTATTCAGTAGACCTCAGGGCACACCACTTGAAGTTCCCAAAGACAGCATCTTTTTCATCCACTTGGAATGCCCTTTCCCACACTGTTTTCATGAAAAACCTGCAAACTGATTGCTTGAAGACTCCGTTGCTAGGTTGCCTCTGAAAACTTTAGCAATAAGCCCCATGGAGATAGGCACCGCATCCACATAACTCATGAAATTACCCCCTGTACTTAGCATAGTTGCCAGCAAGTGCTTTAAAAGGATTAAATGTTTCTGTTTGTTGTGTTTCAATTCTCCATAGTCAGTCACCGGCCTGATACTGTACATGGTGTTTTAATAGATGTTATCTCAGTTTAATAATCTCATTTTTACCTTTGCTCATATTTAACATAGCAGACATATGAAATCATTGTTAAGAAAGATGGTTTGGATATCTGAAACAGACCTATTTCTCTCATTATTTTAGGAGTATCAACTTATCTGTGCCTGGCTCCTGATGGAATCTGGGACCCTCAAGGACCAGACCTTAGCAACTGTTCTTCGCCTTGGGTCAACCATATAGCACAGAAGGTAAATCATGGGGCCGACAAGAAAGGCTTTGCCAAAACTAAATGCTCTGTTGTTGATTGTAACTGCTGTAAACAAAATCGCCAAGATTTTAAAAAATATAAATGTGGAAAAATTCTCCCATTTTCATTTAAGATTTAAGGACAAACTCTGATATGATAATTCTGGAATTTTGTTATTCTTAAAGGCCAAATCCATGAACTTCCTCTAAGCCAGGCAACATTGCTTATAATAATTATATTATTAATAAAATTTATATGGCATTGTGAACTATAGATATAAAAATCCAAACACTATTATAAATCAAGCAAACAAAGCTTCTAGCATACATACAGGTTTTCCTGTGGAAACAATAATTACAGAAAAAAAAAAATCTACCTTTGGAATCACAGCCATTTGATAAATGTCCTGTAACCTAATCATTTATCAGTGTTAAAAGTCTACACATGTGTAACAGAATCTTGCAGACTCAAATTTGCAGGGCTTATTTGGTTGCAATATGTTGAACATTTTTATTATTAATGCACTGTGGGGCTTTGAAATGATTTCATTACAAACAGAGACCAGATGTGCATTTATGCCAAAAGGGCTATGGGATGAATCCTTATTACAGCAATTTGTGTGGATTTATGCACTCCTAAAACGGAGAGTCCTTCTATGGCACATTAGCTATGCTAAGGAATTTCTGAAAGAGATTTTTCCTGAAAAATATTACAAATGATGGCCTTAATAAAAGCCTGTCTGTGCCATTTGCTCTTTTCTGTATTTGTTTTTAACCAGGCTGACCCTCCATAATGTACTGTATAATAATCCATAAATATCTACCCAATAGATCATTTAGCAGATGAGCCATAACCATCTATTTACCCTAAATCATGGAAGAACAGTGATTATATTGACTCTAGTTACCCTCTTACATATGCATCTCCATACTTGTTGCTATTCATAATGACGCTTCTCCAATTTCAGCACTGTTCCTGCCACAGTTTTTATGTCCTTTGATTTTATTACAGTGTAGCTCAGACCCCAGGGCAAATAACTCTTGCTGGATGTGATCAGATTAAGAGATCAGTAGCATATCTCCTTACATTAGCAACTTTTAAAAAATACTTCCTACATACTTAGCCCAAGGGTTAATATTAATTCACTAATAATTCACCTAGAAAGCAGAGTGGTTTTCATGACAGGCCCTGAATATGATTGGACAGTTTCATTGCAGAAATTATGGGGTGACTAACTGACAATGATGCTTAATTCTCTTCTTCCCTCTGCAGACCTGCTAATCTTATGACAAAAGAGATAATTCCTTGCAAAGAACAGACAGCTGTTGTTGCCCATTTGATTTATGGATTGGGTGCTTCTGTTTTATAACAAATAGGCTCCATTCTTCCAGAACATTTCTGTTTAATCCTGCAGAGTCTACAAAATTACGTTATGTGATAATTATGTTAAGATTATAGAATTCAGGGAATTGGAATTTATAGTTAATAACCTTAGCTCGATTACTTATAAATTTATAAAATCTTCCAACGTATAACAGGAGGCTTTGGAGCACAACAAATTGACTTATGTAACTAACCCAGGGTCAGACAAGGAGCTGGTGGCTTAGCTGGGCCTGCCTATATCAAGACACCATGCTTAGCCACAACACTGGTTAAACTGTGAATAGCTGTGACTATTGCCTTTATATCACACACTCACTGACCTAGCCCCTCTTCACTTCTGTCTGCCCTTTGATCTGGTGTGTCCCTTATACCTCCATATAGTTACTATGCTACTCATTGACGATAAATGGTAGTTGAACAGCTCTCTTTACCACAAAACTCCAACACTTCAGTATTACGTGTTAAATAGTAACACTTTTAAATATTAAATATTAGAGAACTAATATGCCATGCTCACAGTTATGTTTCCATATTTTCTCTCCCTCCCCCAAAGCATCTTCCTCCAAATTCATACCTGTGCTCATTTCCACCCCCAGTACCAGAGTCCCAACAATAAACAGAAGGAACATTGGAAGAGGGTTTGTTTACATTGGTATTGTTGCCCAAGGCTCACTGTTAGGTCCAATAGAGGACTCAACCTGGAGCAGGGGTGACCAGGTCCTTGTTTTCACATGAGAAAGAATTCAGGAGGGAGACAGATGCAGGGAAAGCACAGATAGTTTATTGAAAGGGAAGTACATCCTTGAGAGGGAAGTGCTGGGGAACACAGAGGTTGAGTCACAGGGAGGAAGTCTTAAACTTTGGTATTTATACTTCTGGGGGCAGGTTTTGGTAACATCCCATTGCAGTAACCACAATGTAAATGAGATTATAAGGACATTATAATTAGCTAAGGGTCCCTCCTGATGAAAGGGATTAGCCTGCTGGATGAAACTGGTTCTTGTTCTTCTAGTGCTGCAGGTGTTCCATTCAGTCACGTGTTACCTTTGTAACCAGTGAGGAGCCTCCCCTTGTATCCTGGACGGGGTTGTCCTTTTCCTAGGCTACCTATCCTGCCTCAGTTTTGGGGGAGCAAAAGCGAACTGGCACGGATGGATCGGGAACCCAGAGCTGGTAATAGAAATAGAACTGCTCTCAACCCCAGGCTTGTGGCTGCTGAATCCAAGGAGTGACCAAAAATTGGATGCAGGTTGTCCTTGAGAAGAAAGGTGACCTACAGACATAAGAAATAGCCTGGGATTAGGCAACTTTTCAGAAAGAAATCTGGGAGAATAAATACCCAGAACTCACTCTCCCACCTCCCTCCATTCACCCACACAGCTTCCCTATTGGCCAAACCCAAACAGAAGCCAGAAAAGAGAGATGCCCTTATGAACAGCCATGTCAGTCCACCTTCCTGGTCAGAGAGCAGGATGGAGGAGGATGGGGCATGGCCTTGAGCTAGCAGATGGGAAGTACCCAGCATAGTTCTCAGCTTTCGCTCCCATTCGCTCAGCCCTCCTACCTCTCCTCTCCGGTCCCCCTCTCCTCCTTTTTCCCTTCCCTGTTCCATTCTTCCCTCCTTCCTTCCCCTTGTCCCATCCCCTCCCCTCTGCTCTGAAACCCCCCACCCCCTTTTCACTTCTGGGCTTTTCTTAATGCCATGCTGAAACAATTAAAGCAAAATAGATATCTTGAATGATTAGTTTCTCCCCTCCTTCGCTCATTGCAGCTCTGTGTACTTTAGCCTTTTAAAGGAACACTTTTTATTCCCAATGAAAACATAGATGAAAAAAGAAAGCAGGGTGATTCTCTTATTTAAACAGTGTGTTCAGTTTCCCTTCCCCAAGTATTTGTCGGTGAATGTACCCTGGAGTGTAAGGCTCCTCCTTGTGACTTTGTAAGTGCTTCTGGGGGAAGGCCTGAGGACTTTACTGGAAAGGACACTCTGAGTCACAGCCTGCATCCCTGCCATGGGGGAGTGGGGGGAGGGGCCCGATGACTGGCTTAGCTGATACTGTAAAGTAACAACAGTATTTCATTTCTTTCATTTCATTATCAATGCTATTTACTCACTCTATGTCAGGCACTATAGACAGAAAGTATACACAAATGGATCAGGATGCTTATTTTAGTTGAAAAGAGCACACTTTATATTTTCATTTTTATTAGGAAATGAGTTATGCTTTATGCCCTGTGGACAGGCCAAGGAGGGAGAAAACAGGTAAAGAATCTTGATGGCTTCTGACTCACAAATGAATTCGGGCCACTTGCATACTGGTGAATTATAGATTAAATTTTGTATAGTAATAGAGAGTGGATTACATTTCACTACAGAAAAATGTATGCCTTTGAAAGTCAGAATATCATGAAGAAATTTATTACCAACAAGCTAGCCAGAATACTTTCATAATGATGAGATTGAATAAAGCATAGCTCTTACAGAAAGAGAAATGCAAAAGTTGTACACAAAGGGACCTTTACCCCAGCAACAGTAGAGGCAGAGGAGGGGAGTGAGAGAGAAAGAGAGAGATTGGTAAGTAGGTAGATGGATGGATGGATAGGAAGAGGATAGATAGATGACAGATAGATAGATAGATAGATAGATAGATAGATAATAGATCCATCTTCATATTAATGTTTTAAAATAATTTTTAGTTTCTATGGAAAGCTAACAAATTATTTCAGAGCTCTGCCTTCTCAAACATGTGGTAAAATATCTTTTTTTTTTCACCTTTCTTTATGACTGCTTACCAAAATCATAAGTTGCTGGCTTTAGCTTGATCTCTTGCTTAGATTAAAATTTTCAAAAACTAGTTCATGTTTTTTTGTTTTAAAGAGTTTATTTTACTTTATAATCTCTCCAGTTTCTTTCAGTTTAAAATTATGTAAGATTACAGTTTTGAATAACTTCCAAATTTATTTACTTGTAAAATGAGGTGTCCTTCGTACCTCATTACTTGGTCCAACTGTTATCAGGAAAAGAAATGCTTGAATTGTCACTGGCTAATAGTCTTTCAATTTCTAGCAAACTAAAGTGTCTTTTCTTTTGTTTGTACGCAAGCTACTGACAGATTTTTGAGATAAGTTGGGTTCTTTCTGCATTTTTAAAAGAAGGAAGTGAAGATTCAGAAAATATTGTTGCTATTTTACAATATCAGATAAGCCAGTTATTTTGCCCTGGAAGATTAGGTTGAATCCTGTCACCCAGATTTTAATTTCCCCATTCTTTTAATCTCTGTAATCTAATATGAAATGAAAGTAAATGGTTTCTTAATTTTATTAGTTTGGTGGGGTTTCCAAGACTTTAGACTTATTTAACCTACTTTAAATTGTAAGGTAGAAGCATTTAATTGTTTATATACTTATTTGACCCAGCTTCATAGCAAAATAGGTCGATCTTTCAATGAAATAGCAGCCATATACTTAAATGCTATGAGTAACTCCTTCATGCGTTGTTTTGGCACCCGATTAATGTTTGATGTAATAAATCTCATAAAATATCAAGCTTATTTCAAAGAAAATTGTTTTTACTTGTGTTAAAATTTGAAATGTAAATAATATCCATCTCCATCCTACTTATCCTTCACTAAATCTGCAGGGTTTCCCCTCACCTATTCAAGTCCTAGACGTGTAA